CTCAACGGCTCCTAACAACCTCATTATTGCTGGGGTGAGATGGTAGCTTGTTGTTTTGATTTGTGTCTCCCTAATGGCTAATCCATTAACAGGCAGAAAGGAAGAAAAGACCAAAATGGATGTCAGAAGAGACTGTGAAACTTGCTCTTGAACAGAGACTAGCCAAAGCAGATGGAAGAAATGATGAAATAGAAGAGCTGAACAGAAGATTTCAAAAGGCACTGGAGCAGACAAAGTCAATTATTATAATGAAATGTACAAAAACCTGCAGTTAGAAAACCAAAAGGGAAGAACACCCTCAGCATTTCTCAAGCTGAAAGAACTGAAGAAAAAATTTCAAGCCTCGAGTTGTAATACTGAAAGATTCTATGGGCAAAATACTGAATGGTACAGGAAGCATCAAAAGAAGATGGAAAGAATACACAGAGTCACTGTACCAAAAGAAACTGGTCGATCTTCATCCATTTCAGGAGATGGCATATGATCAAGAACCAATGGTATTGAAGGAAGAAGTCGAAGCTGCAATGAAAAAATTGGCAAAGAACAAGCCTCCAGGAATTGATGGAATACCCATTGAGATGTGTCAACAAACAGATGCCCCATTGGAGACACTCACTTGGTTATGCCAAGAGATTTGGAAGACAGCTACCTGGCCAACTGACTGGAAGAGATCCATATTTGTACCCGCTCCAAAGAAAGGTGATCCCACAGAATGTGGAAATTATAGAACAATATCATTAATACCACATGCAAGTAAAATCTTACTGAAGATAATTCAAAAATAGTTGCAGCAGTATATTGACAGAATTTCCAGAAATGCAAGCTGGATTCAGAAGAGGATGTGGAACAAGGGATATCATTGCTGATGTCAGATGGATCTTGGCTGAGAGCAAGGACCACCAGAAAGTTGCTTACCTGTGCAGACTCAGGCCACAACAAGATACCACTTCACACCCACTAGGGTGGTGACTTTCAGAAAGACAGAGCACCGACCATGCTGTGATGACATGGCATCAGGGAACCCGTTGCCAGCTAGATGTAAAATGGTTCCACCATTGGGATGACAGTTTCACAGTTTCTCAGTAAATTAAACATAAATCTTTGGTGTGATCTGGTGCTCAACGCTCCGAGGAGTTGGTGCTGACAAAGCAAAAACATGTCCCCACAAAGACTTGTACACGAGGTGTCATAACAGCTCCATTCATAACAGCCAAAAGGTGGGGACAACCCACTGTTTTCATTCTCTGTTGCGGCTCTAATAGAAAATACCACAGACAGGAATTTATTCTCTTACAGTTTTGGAGGCTATCAGTCAGTTCAGAGTGCCAGCTCTGGGGGCCAGGGAAAGGCCCCTCGACCTTGGGCTTCAGCTCTGTCCCTTGCTCCCGGCCCACTGGAGCTGGAGGCTTCTCCTGACTCAGGCAGCTGCTGGCTGCAGAGGCTGACAGACCCAAGGTCGACAAGTGAAA